TGATCTGTGGTGGGGTCAGAGAAATCGGAGTAAGAGCTAGACTGGTAATTTTGTTGTCTGCAGTTTCAGAACCAATTTCCCAAGCCCTTTTTTCTGCATCCTTTTAAAGGAAGAAATGTTTCTGAATCTATGAAAACCCATGCAGGCCTCCTCTTGGTATTTAATTCACATTCTGTCTTTCTTAAAATATGTTTGTCTCCAGCCAGCCAAGCCATGTCTTGTGCTGTTCTGAGGCCTGAAAATGGGGAGAAAAAGGAAAAGCTGCTGGACAGGATAATTTTGGCAGTCAGAGAGGGTCCATAGGAAGGGACCGGGGAGCATAAGACCCTTCTGGGGTAGTAATATACCTAATAAAACAGAATTCCCAAGGCAGCCTCACTACAAGGCTGGACATGAGGCCATGCTACTTAGAAAGGGCTAGCAAATGCTCCTCCTGCCTGCATTTTCCCAGATAGCAAACATCAGTGTTCAAGGTCTAAGATAAAGGAAGAAATAAGGGAGGCAAGTGGGTGACAGGAAGGAATCCAGGGTAGGGAAGGGATTTTGGAGCCTCTCTACTCAGGTAGGCAGCCTCTACAGCAGCATGATCAGGGGTCTGGGGTCTGAGCCTGTAGAAGACTGAGGCAGAACTTCTCAGCACTGTATTTACCAAGCTCCTCATCCCCATGCTAAAACAGTCTTGGTTTGGTCAGTTTTCCTGTGAATCTCTCCTGAGAGATGAGGCCAAGACACAGGGGTGCCTGCCATGTCTGTCTGCAGGGCACCAGTATTGGATCCCCATGGAATTTGATGCCCATCCAGGGAGGAGACAATTTTATTTTCAGGCAAGAAACTGAACTTCACAGAAAGAAGGGAAATTAAAGAGAAGCAGAGACAGAGGAAAGAAATAAAGGCAGGGGAACAGGGCAGGTTACTGGTGAGATATTGTCAAATGGGTAATTTCAAAAGAATAATTTTCTCTCACCTATTAGCAAGTTTGGATTTCATCTCTTAGTCACTGAACTGTGTCTCTCCTCCTCAGCACTCAGAGCCCCAGTGATCAAATTTCCCTTTCTCTATGTCGGGAGCAGAAATTCTGAAAGCAAACCTGAGCATTTGGGAAGATTAGAGTTCTATTTTGCTTTGAACTGAGAATTATACAAAAGGAAGTGTCACAGGGAGTAAATGCAATTCCAAGTTCTGCTCTTGCTAAATGTAATGAGATTTTGTTTTGTTTTAATGTTTAATGATTCATTTATTCCTTTATGGTTATGAATCTAATG